GCTTTCCGAACTCTTCTGAGTACAATCGTTAGTTATTCATGTGCAGTGCGCAAAAAAAAGAAAAAAATGGACGGGGGGAAAAAAACACCTCTTGTTTTAATGAACGGATTTTGATGTTCTAAGACTCATTCTTAATGGTTCAAGGGGGTGATCTCAAATATGCCAATTAATTAATTAATTAGTACAGACGATATTTTAGGTAAATTTAATCAAACACAAAACCGTGCTATCTTTGAATAAACAAACCTTTTTTTCCAATGGTTTCGGATTTCTGACTCCCAGATTAAAGGGGGTAGCCGCAGTCTAGGAAATATGGTCTCCATAGTTTGGCCAGGAGAGCGATCGAAAGCTGGACCCCTTAATGTTAATTTTACTTTGGCATACTTCACTATATCTCGAGTACTTTTAAGCGAATTGAAAAATTTTTTCACACAGTTATGCAATTTCTTATCCAAAGGTTATTCTACATAAAATATAAATTTTAATAAATACTTATTATATTTTTTTATATTTTATTTAATAATAGTCGAAAAATTCCTTTGTAAGGTATAGAATTTTTACCTCATTTTAAAGTATGTAATTTTCGATGGCAAAATACAAAATTTTAGCGAAATCGGTTGAAGATCTCCTGCGGTGGTAATAGTTATATTAGCTAAATTTAGACTAAATTTAATAAAATGGCAAATCACGAAAGTGAAATAAATTTTGTATGTATTTACAATAATAAACTATTATAAATGAACGAAAAGTAAACCAAAAAATTGAAATAATAAATCACTCTATAAAAGAAAACTTTTTTTTCAAAATCCAAAGGAAATATAACGAAAATCCAGACAACTAAAATGATAATTAATAAAAAAAAAAAATGATGGAAAAATCATCCATTTTAAAGTGAATCTTTAAGAATAATTGCCAAAACAAGCTTTAAAATTAAAAACCTCAGAATATTTTGTGTAGAGAAATTAAGTTGTTTGGAAGCTATATGTACACGAAAATAAAATTCTAGTAAAACTACCATGCTCTATAATAAAAACATTTCTAGTAAAAAAGAAAAAAAAACACGATCCTGCTCAATAAATTTTAAATATACGGCATTTAATGTATTCATTTGATAATTTTTCCATTCATGTTGTAATAGTTAACCGAAAATTCCGGTTTTCAAAATTATTGTTCTTATCTCAGCACATACAGTAAAAAATACAAAACTAATAAATAAATTTAACCAAATATATAGTTTTTTATGCCATGATCTGTGGTATCATGATAAAATGACAAAATTTTACAATTTTTATAAAATTTTACCTAGTATTATAAAACCTAATTTTATTGTTAATTTAACCAAAATCGTTGCCAAAGCGATTCGAGGGGCAACATCAAAGCGATTTGTTACCATAGAGCCAAAAACACGGTAAATTTCACAATATTCTGGTAGTTTAGACCATACTTTTTACCTCAGTGTCTTTTTACAGAAATCAATTTCGATAGTATTTATAATGTTTTCATTTTCAATATACGAAACATATAAAGAGAAATAATAAATATAAAGATTCTCTCAATCAAGAAAAACAAACCATCTGTAATCTCAGATTTAATAAAAATGAGGAAATTCAATAGTTGAAGGCAATAAACTTGTTTGATCAAGAGAAAAATCAAGCTTTTCTTTGTGTAATATTATCGATACCCAAAATCATTTACCAGGAAATTAGAATTCGGTGTTGTATTTGATCATCTGTTTTGTGTATCTTATTTTATAAATAACATTGTGAAGCTTACTTAACATTTTATTTAAATGTTCAAAATACATGTGCATTACTTACACGGAAAAAAAATTGCCATTATGGTAATGACATTTCTGGTAAAAAAACAAACATAATCCTGGTTAGCAAAATTGAAACATATGGAATTAAATGCATTTATTCCATAATTTTTTCATTCATATGGTAACAGTTTACCGGAAAATTCTGGTTTTCAAAATTAAAAGTCTTATTTACACATATAGAGTAAAAAAAATTAACCCAATAAATGATTTGTATGCTGTGCCCTAAAGTATCATGAATAATTTTACCACATTTACCGATTTTATCACATAAGCATTATAAAGCCATATTTTTAATTTTACCAAAATCATTACTTTAGAATTTCGATAAAAATTGCCAAGATTTTTGGTGTTTCCACAGAGTCAGAAACAAGGTAAATTTTAACACATTCTGCTAGCCTAGATCAAACTTTTTATCGCAGTGTATAATTTTTATCCTTTGTCTTTTATCCTTTCTATGTATTTTAACTTAAAAATATGTCACTAATTAGTCATTATTTTCAATGAATAAATTGGTGAAAATTTTTGTTCCGGTTTAAAAAAGTATGCAAAAAAATTTATATAAAAGAATGTTTATTAGTGGTAGTAGTTACTAAATTCAAATTAGTTATGTCAAAATCAAGATTACTGGTCTCTGAATTCGAAATTAGTAATGTTTTCGTTTAAAATTTGTCATTTCTAAAGTCGAGATTAATAGTCTCAAATTTTGAGATTAATGCTCTTTAAAGTCGATATTAGCTTTTTTAAGTCCGATATTATTTGTTTCTAAATTCAAGATTAGTTATTTATAAATTCAAGATTAGTAGTTTATAAATTCAATGAATTTCACTATGAACAAAATAGGACAAACATAATTCATGTATCGAATATGGAAAATATTGCATTTGCGGCATAGCATGAACGATTTTAAAAATGTTATTCTAACTATATTTCTAATTTCTCCCAAATCACGAAACAGTTATTATCCCACTCCTTCCTGTTTCTATAATCTGTCATCTTTCCCTATCTGACACCGCCAAAAAGGTAAAAAGCCCCGCCAAACTGAATATTAAAACACAGTCTAAATGTAAACAAACAACAATAGCATCTCGTCCTCTAACCTTATCAACTCTCACTATTTTATTCTAACGGGTTTTTAACTCTATCTAAACCTGGAAAAAGGAAGGTCTTGGCAACGTGCCAAGTAGGGCAGAGTAGGGGCGAATGACCCTCTGCTACCCTAGACTTCCAAGTTTAGTGACCCATCCGTGCGCGCGTTACAATTTTCACGTTACAAAAAGGGTGAAAGTGAAATGTGTGAGAAAAACCGCCTCTTTTGGTGGATGGGGATGATAAAGGGGACAAAGGGTTAAAATGGGAGATCCTAAGGGGGGTCGGATGACCCAGGAGAGGATATGGAATTCGCTTTTTTTTCCCTAGAATATTTTTTATACACCTTCTTTTTACACAAAGAATATAAAGAGTTGGTTAAAATTTGCTAAGAAACTGATTCATCCTATTTTCAAGCCAAGAAAAGGGGAGAAGAACTGGGTTCATTTTTTGAAGTATTTTAGATTATAGTTAGAGCAGTGTAACGGAAATATAACTTTGCAATACCTGCATTGTATATTTATAATGCTTGAAAACTAATTTTTCTCATAGTTTGCTGTGATTCGTTACTTCCGCCTTTTCTTTTCCCTTTAATTCAACAGTTTATTGACTTTTACTATTATTTTTAACCACTAACAGGAAAACTTCTAAAATAAGATGTGGAAAAGTGAACTAAAATGTATAATTTAAAACATTTTTTTACTTTTATTTTCAAAATTTGTGTTCTAATATTTAATTAATAAATTCATACCCAGCTTAAATAGGTTATTGTTGCTTTATAATTATTTTCCGGTATTACACTCTTTTAAAATATTATTTAAACGTTTACTATGTAGATGTAGCATATTGCATTATTTTATATAATATAATATAGTATAATATAATACATTTTATTAGATTTAATTTACTTTCAATTTTTTTTAATTTTAGCTTATATTTAACTGATTTTAAGAGTACTAAGAGAAATCCTAAAAGTACTTTTTAAAACTACACTGTAAAAAATTCCGGATCAAATTAAGGTAAAAAGTGAAATTACGGTACTTTTTACCGTAAAATTGATTTTTACAGGAACATATGACGAAGCAAAAAATCTGATACATCGTAATTTTTACACTAATATATTACTGTAAAATCACTGAACTACTTTGATTAATATTACTGTAAAAATTACGGTATAATATTTAAAAGTATATAATATTTTATGGATTTTACTGTGAGATGGCTGTTACGGTGTAAAGTGCCGGTACTTTATATCGCAATTTGATCCGGAATTTTTTACAATGTACATTTATAGAAACAGGACAATTGATCTGATCTTTTTATTTACACGGTTCTTAACCGGAAGCCGGACACTTTAATCGGGTATCCAGTGCCGGATGACACTCATTTGCGTTCGGTACAGTCATATTTAGAATTATAGTAACCTTAGAATTATTCATATTTGTAATTTCGGAAATCCATGTATTCCAATAGTATTTAATAATCAAGCTGGCACAACTGTTTTGACGTCATATAAGAACGTGGGTGTAGAAATTTAATTCTGGGAAACCTTGGTATAAGGGAAAGCTTTGAAACAGAGAAACATGTTTGCTTTTGAAGAAGACCGGCTGTGTAGGGGTTAGGGAACTGCCCTTGCATCACAAAGGTTGTGGGTTCGAATCCCGGGCAAGGCATGGATGTTCTTTCCTTCTCTGTGCTAGTTGTCCTTACTGTGGGAGCAACGTTGGCCCACCCAATATGGTGCCCCTGAAAGAGTGGTCAACAAATCTGCCCTTCAGATGCCTGTATGACCTAGGTCATTCTCCAGGTGGGCAATGGAGAAAAAAAATGTTTACTTTAGAGGACAGTCCACACGAGAGAAGGACAGAAAAATTCTGAAATCTCATGCTGAAAATAATTTTGATTAAATTGATATGATACTTAAATGAATACGAAATTAGAAATATGGAATTGCACTATTATTTAAATTGAAAAACTAATAAAGAATAGATTCAAAGAAAACTGTTGAAAAATGCAATATATGCGTATTACCATCGCATTAAATTTGTTGACAGCAAATGACTAATGCTATAATTATATAATTTAACTACCATACCCTCAATGGTGATCATGGGTTAGAATCCTCTGACCGTCGGGATAACCATGGGACGTTCTCAGCGTGTTTCTCTCCGTGTGGTGCAAATGCGGTTAGTTCCATCAAAACTCCACGAAGACCATTTTGTCCGAATTCTTGATCCAAGAGTTCCCTTGTCTTCTGAGTTGGTTTCAAAATTACAACGCTGCGGAACTGACAATTGATCGTCGTAAGCTCAGAATTCGGCCTACCATTCAACGTCGGCTATAAAATGTAGTATAATATAAAATTAAATATCCATGGTATCACAAAAACAATAAAAGTATTTTTCTAAAATAATTTTTTTGAACAAAATAATTCTTATTTTCGCATATTTAATTTAAAATATTTGTCTTATTCGTTTTGTTTTATTTTAAATCTTTGTTAAATTTATCAATTAAATCATTTTATAATTATGTTGCAGTTTCATTATTAAATGTTCTGTTTATCAGTAATTTTTTAAATTATTATCAGTCCTTAATCTTTAATTATTCTAAAGCCTAACTTTTTGTGATACAGTGATCAGAAAAAACTAATAAATAAATGGACCACCCTGAATAACTTCGGATCCATTGATCGGATCTCTACGTTTTATGACTCATCCTCTTTCTAAAAATTCGATTTTTCAGAGACAATTCAACTGATTTCGCTCAAATCTTGTTTTATGCCTTGTAAAATGGCATTCTTCAAAAGGAAGTAAAAAATTATAAGCCTCACAATTTAAAACTTTTTCGACTAGTATTAAATAAAATAATAAAAAATAATATTTATTTACTGAAAGTTATTTTTTGCATGAAATTAACTTTGGATAAAAGTATTTTACTAGCGCGTGCAAAAATTTTCGCAAAAAATAAAATTAACATTAATGGATTCAAACCTTTAACTGATCTCCTGACCGAAATTCTGGAGCTATATTTCCAAGATTGCGGCTACTCCTTTTATTTTGGAAGTCATAAATCCGAATTAGACGAAAAAAAGGTATGTTTTCTTAAAGAAAACGCGTTTTTGTGTCTTCGTATTTTAAAATATTGTGGGCACTAAATAATTAACGTATTTGAAGTCACCCCCTCGAACCAATAAGATTGAAACCTAGAACGTGAAGATCGGATCATTGGACCAAAAGTTATTCAGAGTGCTCCTCTTATTTTATTTTTTTTGTGCACTGTATTTTTTACTCAATGCAAATGCGCGATTTCAAAATTTCAAAACTATCCATCAAAGCTTTAAACTTTCCCGGAAAAACATACTTTACAAACTATATTCATAGTTAAAAAAAAATGTAAGATTTTTTTTGACCTACATAAGTGTGAACAATGCTGAAATAATTGAGACAAGATCCCTAAAAAAGATAGACACAGGTAATGCTACAAATAATGTAAAGAATCTATTCTTACGTTTAGAGAAAAAGGTGAAGAATGTGAGATAAATCTATTCCAAGGTAAATTCCTGAATAAACACAGAGAGGAACAAAAAGGTGGAGGTCAACAAACCTTCCTGATAAATATATTTGTGATAAGATGACTTTTACCTTGTAGACTTTAAAATCAAAGTCGAATTTCCTTTCTTTTTTTTGTTTCCTGTTATAAACTTTAAACTTATGTGATGCATAGTTGCGAAATAGAAAAGCTATTCTTACTCTTATAAAATAAATATCTTTGGATATATTTTCAAAATATTAGGTTTGAGTTAAAAAATTAATTATTTTTATATTTATAGATATTATAGATATAGATAGATTTATATTTATAAAGAAAAAATACTATGCTTAAATTTAGGTTTATTGAATACTTTATTCTAAATCTTTTGTTAATTTGTTTTTACTTGTTTCGAAACTGTCAGTGTGGAATGCAATTGAAATTCCGACCTATTTCCTACAAGTTAGAGCTCTTAAATCTCTAATTTAGTTCTTTATTTGTGGCAATGCAAGTTTGAATCTTTCCTCATCTCTAAAAGCAAACTTCTTCATCGTTTTATTACCAACTAGAATTTATCTCATTATTTAAAATTTTAACCACTCTCCAATTGGCTGGGATGCTGAAATCTTCCCTGATTCCACGTGTCTGATAAAATACAACATAATGATCGCTAGAAACGGGATTTATTTCCGTATTATTTCCATTGAGAGTTTCTCGTAAATTGAACTATATAACTTTTTCAAGAAAATAAGAATATCTACTGTAAATTACACTTTAAGAAACTGTTGACGGAAAGTATTCTATAATATTAGAGTAAATATAAGTATATAAATATTATATAATATTTATAATTTATATATATTTATATTATATAATATTATTATTATATAATATTATTAGTAGATAATATTTATAATGTATAATTTTTTTATTTTTTAACATATTTATTATGGTGAAATTGCATAAATGCACAAAATATTGAGTTAAACATAGAGTTTATTCTCATATTTACTGCTTCACTTATTCTGAATAAATGATCTATAAATAATTTAAATATATATGATACCTTTTTTTATATATTTATCCAAATATTTGTTTTAAAAATAACAAAATAAAATATCTTTTTCTGCACCGTATTCTAGACTGCCCCGTTATTGACGGTTTTAAATGCAAGTTTTTTTCAAAATTATTTAGACAGTGTATAGAATTCAAGTAATTATGCTAAACCATTGTCAATTTGACATTTACATTAAAAAGTTTAATCATTAAAGAAGTGCAGCATTAAAGTTTGGAAACTAATTTGTTATAAAAAATATACGTTACATTTTTATATAAATATATGTGTTTCAGAAAAAATAAATAAATGTTATTGTTCCTTTTCATTCTATTCTCTTACAAAAATTTTATTTCTAGAAATTACTTTGCACAAAGATTGAAGCATTCATTCTATTACTTTTTTCCCATTATTTAAACAAAATTACAAATATTTTCCTCTTTCTCAGTTGTACATTGATATGATCTTAAAATTATACTGCACATGCTCAGTACTGAGCTTAATTCATTACTTATTGCGCATGCGTTGTGGATGAGAATTGATTGAATGAATTGCCATAGATATTTCACTTCATCATCCGGAAATCACCGTGAGTTCATCCAGTTCATTGAAAACATTTCATTTTCTGATGAAATTCTTAGTTTGAAAATGGTTACACACATATAGAAAGAGTAGGAAGAAAATTACGTTCTTATCGTTCAATAGTGAGTAATATGGAACAGCAAAACATTACTAATATTTATTTATTAACAATTATTTGAATAAATCTTTGTTAATAAATGAATAAATATTATTAACGGAAAATCATTTATTGTAAGATACAGGATAAATATTTTTTCTCAAGGAAGATGTATTATTTACAAATAGTTATAATTAATATCATTGCTCATATTATTAATATTACTGCTCATATTTGAATTATAGTTCGTTTGACTTCTAAAATTTTCTTAAAGGTTATTTGTTGAGTTACAAGTTCTCCAGATCATGATTTTAAAACTTACGTTCGTTTAAAACTAAAAGTTTGAACATTTTTTTTAACTTACAAGGGTTGCTATATGTAAAATAGTTTTCCTCTTAAAGGTCATGTTTTAAAGCAGTTTTTTAAAATTTTATATAAATAAAGTTTATGAAATAAAATAAAGTTTTTATAAAATAAAGTTTTTCTCTTTATTTATGGATTATTAAGAAACATAGACACAGCAATCAAATCTGTTTAATTTTGCAGCAGTATAATTTTAAAATTATTCGCACAATTGCATTATACTGCATTGCGTCTTTAAATTAAAAAAAAATATATATATGAATTTTAATTTAAAATATATTTGGAGGCTGCTATCCATTTTAGCAAACTTGAAAATATTCTAAAATTTATTACATTTCATTTTTGCATTAACTTCAAAAGAATTTATTTATTTATTTTTTTGAATTAATATTTATGTCTATAAAAAACCTTTCAAGTAGGATATTTTATCAAACATTTTAATGAGGTGTTCTTTATCTTCTGAGTCCGGTTCAAAATGACAATGTTACGTATCTGAACTTTAGGAACCACAAATATTCAGCAAAATCAAATCGGATAAATGTTTTTCATTTAGAAATAATCGGTTCAATGTTAAACTATATAGATACCTTGACCTACAATATAGTGTAGATTTGCTGATGTGTTTAGTTAGAAATATCTTACGTTAAACAATGTCTCTCTTAGAGTTGGGTCATAATATTGTGTAATCGAGTTTAACATGGTTTAATAAGCACAATAACATGGGTAAATTTCGCACCTTATTTTGCTGAAAATTTAAATGATATTTTGTTTCAACGAGGCTCAACATTTCGAACAGTCTTTGATGTTGAGTTCTTTAAAAAGACCTCTCAAACGTCATTTCTACCCTGTTATGTGGATGCTCGAAAATTTACTGAAAAAAGTACAGGTACTCAACTTTTTACTGTAAGTTTAATATTCACCGTAATCATCAATGATAAAAAATTATGGTTTGGAAAGATATATCTTTAAAAAACGGGTGGCGTTTTAATGAATGAGAGGGAAACTATCACGGTTCTACCATGATCGGGTTGCCAATACTTTTTACTGTAAATTTAATATTATTGTAATTATTAATTTGCCGTGTCGTGATGTTTTATTGGATGAGAAGAAAGCTACCCTGGCCCTGTTCTACTATAGTCGGGGTGTTAATACTTTTTACTGTAAATACAATATTTATTAGTGGGTGGTCAGGACACCAGTACTTTTTACTTCAAATTCAGCATTCAATATTGTTATTTAAGGACAGAAAAGGGATGGTTTGAAAATTAGATAAAATACGTTTAGAAAAACTTGTCGTGACATTTAAGAGGATCATAAGAAGAAATTCAAAGGTCCCCGGCACTTTTACAATTTTCATTTTAAAATTATGGTAATATAACCAGCAGTTGCCTGCTCATCCAGTAAACCGTAAAGTTTATGATTAAGGACATTTGTTGCTTTTACGTTTTTGAAACCGCTTACTACTAGTTTGGTTATAAAACCATGAATACAAAACTATACAGTTTTTTAACCATTTACAACTAGCATGGTTTCGAAATAGTAAAAAGAAATTTAATTGGACATTGAACATAGGGTTTTTATTAGATAATGGGTATTGGAAAGTGCAGGACACAAATTGGGGAGTGCAGAACACTAGAAACTCCTCAAGTTTTGAAGGGCATGGAGGAAATATTGTGGTGTCAACGCTGGGATTCGAACCCCCGTTTTGTTGGTCATGAGATTGACAGATTAGCTTTTTGTACTCATCTGTAAGGAATTAAGTTGTTTCATTAGGTGGGCTTATTTGTTGCCATAAATTTCTGTCTGCTTACCCGTATTAAGTGAAAGCAGTTAATAAACAGTTTTTTTCATAGTTAACAGTTTGAATATCATCTTATTCATGGGTATTTGACTGTTTTATTTGAATGTGGTAAAATAAAAATTAATTTGTTATTTAGCCATTCGAAAAATTTCGTACTGTGTGTAATACTATTTCCACAAACTTTACAATGAAAGTTTGATCATAGTGTAGTAGCAATATTTTACAATAACACTTACTTCAAAAGGTTTATACATTTTTTAAAGTGTAGAATGATTAGATAAGAATAAAATTTGCTCCAAAAATTTCATTATTTTTTCTTTGGAGAATTACTTATCCATAAAGAGAGAAATCACTCTTGCATCCAATAAGAAAAAAGAAATGATGGATTTGCAAAAGTGTCTGCCCTGACAATGAAAAATAAAAGTTTGAAGTCATCGCTCGAGCAACCAAAACAGTCGACCTATATAAGCAATCTACTCTCTCACTCACTTGGTGACCTAATCAACAAAATCTCTTGTTACCGCATGCCTGCTTTTTCAATTGTCTTACTGAGACACTCTCGAGAAAGAAGAAAAATATTCTAAAGAGGGGTCAGTCTTCCTTTTGAAACAGGTTTCTTGAATCGTTTTTTAACTTATTCCGTTACAAAAAAGTTTTCTGTTGCTTCAAGATGGTTTTCATCTGTAGCCAAAAATAGCGTTTTGTCTTCTTACTTTTTTATTGTTCGATAAATCTGGATCATATAATCTGAATTCATTTGAAAAGTCTTTGACCATGAATCGGCTCAGAGATAGTTTTCAGAGAATGTTATAAATATATGCGTAGTTTTTTTCTTTTTCTTCGAAGTTTTGTTATACGCTGTTAGAAATTCTGTTGCGGGGTTCAACTCTAATATCATTTGTATTTGTTTCAACCTTAATGTGGTACGAAGTCTAAGTTTATAATTGTGTAAACTGATCTTGATTACACGATAATGTGGTTCAACATAAAAGGAATTGTGGTTCAATTTAGCAACTCTTAATAAGGTTGCGGCAAGTTTTCTCTATATTACGGACAAAAGCACTGATTTTTTCCGGAGTGAATTAAAAAAAGTCGCAATCTACTATTATTTTTAAAAAAAGGAAGAATATATTGAAGGATATTTTTAATAAAAAAATTACATGTTATAAGAATAAGATTATTTTTGAACTTGCATTTTTTTGAAGAAAAAAAAAAGTAAATATTTTAGAAACTTGGGGAACAAAGTGGATATCTTTGCTGAAATACAATAAAG